TTGAATTATTTGAATTATTTGTAAAAATTTGTAGATTTTTAAGTATTTTGCTTATTCTGCGTATTAACTTTAAAATTATAACTAAAATTTCATACGGTCGGTAATTATAGTTTTAAATGCAGCCGTTTGCCTTAGTTCACGCTATCATTTACTTTGCATAAATCTGTAACGTATCTCTAATCTTCTTCCGCCATGTTATAGCGGCTCTCTTTTCAGAGAACCAATTTTCTGATCCTCATCAGCGAATTTTTTTTACGCCATGGATGTATTCTCATCGAGCCAATGATTGACACTTGGAAAAAGGGTGAATGGTGAAGCTAGAGCGATGTTCACGCTGGCGCTCTTTGAATCGCATTGCATTGTGACTGTATACTCGCTATATATGAGCTTAGATTCACGCTGAGATTAGCTACGTTGAAAGGAAATAAAACATTGGCTGATAGTTAAACGTACTCACGTGAAAATTACTTGTTCCGTAAAACAATTTCAGAAGAGAAGCGTTAAATTTTTCGCTGTCTGCTCAAAAATATGTATTTATATGATGAACTCTTATATATAGGCTGAAACAACTTCATAAAAAATAAACACTAAGAAATGTCATTTTATAATAAATTTCAAAATCTATTGTTACTAAATTTATAATAAATTCCAAAATCTACGCCAAGCCAATAAATTAACTAATTTGCCTGTTTAATTAAATTGCGAAAAAATTGAATAATTTCCATGTACGTCAAATAATGGCAAACAACGGCTAACTTTTTCTTTCTTAGACTCCAATATATATTAAAGCTTTCTCTGTATTAATTTCTTGTGTATTTGCCTTGAATGCACTTACTGTACGTCTCATGATTGCCTATTATAGCTTCGCGGAAAGTTATATGTCTATCATCCAACTACGTACTTTGCTTGTAATCCCGTGCACCTGACCAAAATGAAAATCAGAATAATTATGAAAAATTATTTGTATTAATATTAATTAATAATTATTCTCTGTTCATATTTTTGACTTCACATATTTTTCACATATATATGAATGTATTTCATTGCTAATCGCTTTCCATGTTCGTGCATATGCATGTTCCATCCATAATAAAAATAATATTACTGATAATCAGGAACTAATGTTACCTCATTCATCAAAACCCTGTTAGCCATGCTGAAAAAATCCCTTCATCTCTAACGAAAATTGTGAACACTTTATCAATTGGCAACGTAGAACCGCAAAATGTTATCGTTGGCAAAAAATCGAACGAATTCCGTTATGAATATTACAGTAGTTAAAGCCGATGAATAACAAACTTGCTTGCTCGAACTTATAATAAAGTAAGTTTATTGCACTCAACTATCGCATGAATGAGAAGAGTTTTATTTATGAATTCAGTTGTGCAGACGATCATTGAACGTACTGCATGAATGACGAAGAATTTTTACACGTCAAATTTTGAATTCACCTTCAATTATACTCATAATTGTAGTCTACCCACAAATTTTCCATTATACATAAATAATGACAATAGTTATTGTCCTTAATGAAAAAGATTAAAAAAACGATGATTTTGTTAATTATACTTAATAATGATTAGTTATTTACTATTCTTACAATTTCCTTAGCAATGAATTGTTTTCCAATTTTTAACCTCATTGCGAATAACTTGCTCTTGTTGCAAAACAAATGTAAAAATCTATCATAGATTTCTCCATGTTATGCACAAACTATATTAGAATAATATTTAATCAAATATATGTACGTTCTTTTGATTGTTCAATAATACTCAAACAAATACTTCAAGAAAGTATTCCTAAAAATCCAGCACGTGCACCCCACTAAAAGTGCAAGTCATTTGCGAAAATTAACTCTGCCCTGAAATCATAAGAAGTTTGCCATGCGATTTATATGCCAAATCCCACTCCTAATTTACGGAGACCTATAATAATGCTTGGCCATAACCTGCGATGCAAATGAGAAGAGGAATCAATCCCGAGTAGAAAATGATCACAAACATTTGAGAAGCTGTCAAAAGGCTCTTTGTAAGTGCCTCACGAGCCTAACTGTCCTTAATTTCCGTCTAAATAAATATCTTGGCTTCATAACTTATGAGGCCATGTTGGTATAATAGCTACCTGCGAAGGGTTAAGCGAGTTTTATGACCGTTAGATATTTGCGTACAGGGTCGATCGAAATGCTGCGAGCAGCAACGCGATATGTAATTGTGCGTACAGTTATAGAAATTAACCTGATTTTGATTAATATCTCGTCAGTTTACTCCTCAAAACCAGGTAAAAGTTCATGCTAGCAAAGATATATGTGTAAGCACTTCAATTCGGTGGAAGTATTTGATGTATCTCAGAATTCGAATTTGCTAAGTAAATTTTTTATTTGGTTATATATTATGTGCAGTAAATAGTATATTTCGTTGGTGAATTGTGCTTCGTTATGACGTGGAGAATGTTGATTAGTATTCACTAACGAGAATTAGTATATAATGAACGATTTATTGATGCTTACTTCCTAGTTTGTAGGTACAGAAATTGGAAAAAATTCCAAACATCTGACAAGAATTTCATAATAGGAATAAGTGTTATTTTCTGTGAAATTGAATGTGTTTTGATTACTCGTCTTCTATCTGACAATTTTTTCGCTCATCATACATCAATATATCTTAATCCTAAATATTAATCTGCATAAAACTCACTTAAAATTCTGTGAATAAAAAAAGGAAATCCATGTGCTATCAATGAGCACCAGTCGTTTTGATAGAGTGCCTATACCATTCGTAACAGGAAATGTCATAAAAAGGAAGTTTTGATAGAGATATATGCTATTTTGAACTAACATTTCATAAAAAGGAAAATTCTCATTATACGATGCTGCAGATAAACCCAACTAAAGAACTGCTTTATAATTTTTCCGTCTCTCACTGCTCGATCGGGCCCGTGGAACCAATAGATCGAAGCCTCGGCAACTCACTGTTTACGAAGACGTGATGCCGACGTGTTCTAATCCAGTGAGTGTTAGCATAAGACAGTTAAATTTGCGTGCCCCGGCGCATGTCGGAGGCAGACTTCGCCTATACCACGTACCGTCAATATAGATTGCAAGACCAATCCTTATATTTGCCAATGGAAATGACAGAATTCCCGGCACGATGTGTTGGCATCTTTTATTTGGTTCTCACTTTGATAGTTCAGACGATACGAGTGACCGAACCTGCGTAGCTGGAGTTTGGTTGATGAGTTCCGTATGAAATTTGTTATAAATTTCTCCCAATTAATTTTAATTTTGAGCTTTAACTTTTATTCGGATATTCTATTTCCCAATATTTCGAGAGAATGTTTTTATTATTGTTTACTAATTCCTTTGATGATCTACAGATGTTTCGGGGACATATCAATAACTTTGAAGCGGATGCTATAGCAAAGTATTCATAGTCTACTAGCATTCCTTGTTAATACGGTGAATAATAGGTAATCGGAACTCTTTATTTCTGCAGAATGGAGAGAAATGTCTGAATGAAAGTCTTAAATGTATGCTGACAGTATTAAGCCTAATGAAAGTTAAAAAAATCGCTGCATTAAAAAATAATTTTCATGAGCTCTTCAGAAAGCTATTCAAATTAAAAATTCAGGAAAATATGATCCGAGAGATATTTTTACTTCGTACATGGGCTGAATCTAATTATATCCATTGTAAGCTTAGTAGATGCATACATCAGAGAGGTCGTTTTTATTCAAGTTAGTTATTATTCTCATCTTCCAGATAACTATATTGAAGCGCAGAGTAATAGAGGAACCAATTTATTAGAGACAAAATGCAAATAAAGGAAAATTGTTCATTGAAAAGCTTCAACTATCCGCAAGAGTTAATGGGATTGTATCTACATCTACTCTGAAAACTGCATGACCGAACCATTTGATTATTTTACGATAATAATAATAATAATAGTAATAATAATAATAATAATTTTTAAAAATATGATAAAAAATGCCTTGCTTATATTTCAGGCTATTGTGTGCATAAAAATAAGCACAAGAAGTCATTTGATACTTAACATTTGATACTTAAAGCATTATTAGAGTTTTCTTCCCAGAATTAAGCACTTTTTCTTCTTTAAAGGTGCCATTACTGTTGTAGCGCACGCGTTTCATAGACCATATGTAGATCCTGCTGAAAAATATTTCTGGCATGGATCAACACATGCAGTCTTATGACATTTCCATAAAATTCATGTCGCCCATCAGGTGAAAATATACTCATGACTAAGGGACTCCAGCAAAAATATTTCTCATGGTTCGTTGTTACGCGCAAAATTTTAGCAAGAAACAGTACGCTCCTCTGTTACATGAAAATTCGTAACTTTATATACCGCGTATCGCGTTTAGGAACCCGTGTATCTTGAATACGAACATACAACATCCCTGTTCAGGGCATATACCATGTACAGCGATGCATGCTTGGAGTACAAAGGGTAAAATGCCGTGAACAGGGATGTGGATCAGGAATACGCAGAATATAACATCACTTTTTACGGCGTACCGTGAACAACGGTACATAGGGTAATACAAAAGGTATAATATTCCTGTTCACAGCGCAGTCTCGCACCGTTTTTATCAAGTATAGTGCATGCGTGCCTTGAGTACGCAGGTTAGAACATCCCTGTACCGTGTTGCGTCCCGAGTAAGGGTTAATCGGAAGCGCCGAGGTCCACTTTCACGAAGGAGGGACAAACCAGCGTGCGGCTGGAAGCGGCAGTTGCAGCTCAACCTGCCCCGCGGTAGCAGCGCGCCGGTCTCGCGTTCACCTCTGGAAGGCGTCGCGCACTGCATGGAAAGCCACGCGCGACTTCATCGCGGCACTGCCAGAAGCGCGTCAAATTTACCCCGATAATTTCGAAAGTATTTGAACGAGAGACGGACTATGATTCGATAAAAGTAAACGATTTTTGGAGTTTGTTGATGTTATAAAGTATTTTCGTTGACGAGTTTAAAGTAAGATACGAGTGAACAAAGCTAGGAACAAGCAGTCTGGATGCAGCCGTCAGGTGCATTCAGTTCTCTGAGACCACACGTTCAGAGCCGTGTTATTAGTGAAGAATATTTTATTTACAAATTGAAAACGAAAAATTTTCAGTAAAGTTCTAATAATAAAGTCACGGAGCGGTCGCGTTTTTGCAAGATTGAGTCAATTAAAGTCGTAACAATATTTTTATTACTAACTCAATAATACAATATCCGGCTCGGTGTGGTTATGAACTAAGTTTTAATCAGTATTTTGAAAATTTCTATTTGCCTTAAGTACTTGATAAAAATTACTATCAAGAAGTAACAGAAATGCGATCAAGTACCAGGCATGTGAAAAATACTGTGAAAATGAACAATATTGTTGTTAGATATTTATTAAACCACAGAAACCGTGAATTCAGCTTCATGTTATTTCAAATGTCGTACATGCTTACCCGTAAACATTAATTTATTAAATTTCTTCACGGCTCAAAAATGTTTAAGTCATAAAAATAATATGTTGGCGACCAAGCTTTTAAGAGATTCCTTACACAAATTTTTGATTGGCGGTCTGTTTTACTTGATGTATCGCTAATCGAAAAATATGCCACGATATCTCATTCATTAATTTTCTGATAAATTAAACGTGGAGACAAGAAGCTGACAACAGAAACTGAGAAAGGCTGATTTCGAATTTTATCTAAAAACTCAATTTCATAGCATTCAAAATGAACTCTTTAACCCTACCTGAACACATAAACACTCAAGAATGAACACATGAATTATCAAACATTTATGATCGGAACATCCGTTTGGATGGAGTGTGAACTAGGCAACGTACAGGCATGAGATGGAATCTTGCGTCTCTCAACATTACGTTCCCTCAATGGGTGAATACGTCGTACCTCACGCAGTGCATGTCACCCAAGACATGGGTGGTGCTGGTGGTGGGTGTCATCCACACGAGGGAACCATGGGGGCATACCTGGATGGCCTGGCACCCGGCATGGGTGTCCCGGAATATCCGTGGATGAAGGAAAAGAAGCCTGTCAGGAAGCCTCCTCATCCAGGTAAGCTCTAGGATCGGATGAAAATTTTATTTCTTAAGCTATTTGGGAAATTTTTAGTTAAATTTTATAGTTTTATTACCCATTGATTGACGTTGAAGCTGTTGATTGAAAATGTCAATTTCTTAGTTTTTTTTTAATGACACGAGACATTGGTTTTCAATATATCATAGCCCCCGGATTTATCAAATAGCTTTATTTACTTAGAATTCTATGGTAAAACAATCCCAAGGTAGTCCTTCGTTATCCTGTGACTTAGCAATCAATGATCTTCTTGCTGTTCTCCTTCCACAACATAATAGAAGTCATCAGAATAAGAAAGGCCCCGGACAATTATGATCCTTATTTCAGGCAAAAAGTTAGTTTAATAATTTCTATTTTTTTTTTTTTGAACGAGTTGATTGCATTAGTATTACAGATGTGAATTAGTCATGTTAATTCCTCATTACTTGTATTCCGATGCATTTCAAGCAATAATAAGTTCCGTCGTTTACATGTAGAACAAAAAACTTTTTCTCAAATTTTTGTTCGTCGTAAGTCGATGATTTACTTGAGTGTTCTTACTGCGAATTAAACCTCAACATTTATTCGTCAATTCACATAAAATCTTAGTATGATTATATGAAAAATTATTGAACCTGCTATGAATCAATGAAATTACACTTATACCCTTATCCAGGAAATCGAACTGAATTTCCCATTTCTTTAGCTGCGGTCAAATTAATAAAAGCAATTCTCGGTTATTTCATTTCACTTGTTAAAATTTCGATCGAAATCTAGATCCTAGATTTAGATTGAAATTTTTACCTACATTCGAGGTAAGAAAATTTTACCCAGAATTTTCACGAATAAAATTTATCAAATCCAGTTCTGAATTGGGCACATTATTAGGGTAAAGAAGCTCCTATGGATTCAAATAGCATCGACAGATTTTTTAGAGAGAATTGTGCCTCTAAAAAATTAATTAAATAGTTCAATGTTGGTATAAATGTATGAGCTAAACTTCCATAATTCAGAAAGTTAAGTAATAAAGCTCATTGCTTTTCTAAATTTATCCTTAATACAGATAGAAGTTACTTATGAAAATCTTTGCCAGACTGCTTCATTGCACTCAAGATATTTTGATGAAACCCTACAAATGCCTGGTCCAATAAATAATATTGGGAATATATTGAGCAAAATCGTTTATTTGGGCATGTCAGAAAAGAGTACCTGGTCCAACCCCAAATAATGCCCAGTAAATTGACAAGTGTTTCATCAGCGAATGCACAGAGCAAAACAAATTAGTATGTTATGCCAAACTGCAAACTTACTACATTTGTGTCTAGACTCTACTGACATATTTTTGATGCATTGATACCGAGTAAAAATGATTCCCGAAAGATATAATACTTTTACTTGATCGTCATGTATAAGAAGATTCAATCAAATTTTGTCTTCGCCTGAATCAATTCAGAACTTATGTTTGTTTTATATGTTACGTTGGATCATTCGAACTGAATACATAGCGTGAGAATTCAGCCTCGAAGATATTAGTGTGTCCGAACTATCCTACTTCAGAACACTGAACTTATTTACGCTCGTATTTATGAGTAGTATGAGTGTTTTACTCATATCGTCACTCATATCGTCACCCTCTGCAATTAATTAGGAAAAACAGTTTCTGACGTGATCTTCCATTAATACAATCTTTAGAGTTTTCGCGTAACCCGAATCGTATTTAATCTAAAATTAACAATATCTCTGCATTACAATACAGAGATAAACCGAAGAAACGTACTAATTTGAAAGTAAACGTACGTACCTCGCTTGAAAACTATCAATTAGATGTATGCAAATATTCAGAAGGACAAAGAACTTTCCAATAATAATCTCCTTATTCGAAAAACAAATTAAAATTCCTGTTCACAATTACTTGTTTGAATAAGAAGATATATAATAGACTTGTGATATAATAGGCTCATTTTCTCTGTGTAAGGTTGGTTCGAGCAGCAGGCTGATTCAGAGGAACTGGTTTCAGTGCTTCGAAATTTTCAAGTGTTTCAAAATACTACAAGCTTGTCTTTTTTTTCTTTTGAATTGCTACTTATGGGGAGGAATAATGGGTTCTAGAAAAGAACTTAATATAACAATCAAATATAATAAAAATAAACGCAAGATCAAAACATATTTAAGTCACATCGGCAGACTAACAAATAGCCATTCCTGTTAGGCCGACGGTAATTTTAAAGTAGAACCGTCACATCACTCGATGTGCCCGACTCAAATCTCTCACTATATTCTTCAGAACAGGATGCATTCCGTATTTTCTTCGGCTCGCATTATTATGTTAGTCTCTGCTTTGTATATAATTATAATATGTTTTTACTACTGCTTTTCACTTAGTTATTTTAATTGAATACTGTCAAAAAATTAAAATTGTAATTGCATATTTCATTTTTTTGCTCTAAATGTTTAGTTTAAAAAAAACCTCGTTGCCGAAGCGAATACAAAAACGTCTGTCACTCTGTTACATGAAGACTTATTAATTACAGAGAAGAAAAATCGATTTTTTTAATTGAAGAATGAAGAAGATTACTTAGAAACACTTTTTTAAACTCGCCTCATACATTTTCATCGGAAGGACACGTTGTCTCTCGGGAAGTGGCGTAAACATGACTATTGTACCTAAAATCGATTCACATTATAAAGATTCTTGATAAGCTAATTATTTACATTTCCAGGCAACCAAAATATATTTTTTGAACTTTTAAAGCCATCTAATTGTAGGAATTTTCCCATTGAATCTTTCGTATAAATCGTTCCCTCGAAAATTTTCAAATTGATCCAAAGTTCGGTACGGGAAATAATTTGCTTTTCAAGGGAGAATTTCATTTGATTATTTTTCTGTTTTTCGCTCCGGGATTTGACTCTTAATTAAAGGTAGGTGGCATCAGCAATAGATAAGCCTGGATTGTGACGGGCACACCATTAGTTAACACGATAAGCTGTCCCCACCATCACTCATTCAAATCTCATTCTCTCCCTGGCTCCTGCAAGCTGCCTTCACTTGCCACGCTCCGACTGCACTCAATTAAATGACTTAAATAAGAATAACCAACACATGAGAAATAAAGGCAGATGATTAAATAATTCTACAATTTTAATATAACTGAAGAAATAATTATAGTTTTACCGCCGAATAGCTCAGATTTATACAGATGATAAATAAGTCAGAAAAAATTATGAAAACGTAGCTGAAGCTTTTTGTTATTTTATAAAAAATACACTATGAAGCTTTAGCAAGCGATTTCTACGTAATCTTACATTTTGCATGCGCTGACATCATTACATGAACCATGTAATAACATTATTGATCTATTCCCGGTTGAAAGCTAACTGCTTAATGAAAGCAAACTGCTTGAGGTGAACCGTTAAGTGAATGCAAGCTCTATCACTAACACTACAATAGAGTGAAGCCAAGAGTGCAGCTCTCATACTAGCATAGTGATATCAGGAGTGTAAACCCTCACACTAATACTACAATTGAGTGAGGCCAAAAGGGTCGCTCACGTCACACCAACGCTACAGTAGGATAAGGTAAGAGTGTAGCCCTGGCACTAACACTACAATAGAGTGAGGTCAATAGAGCAAGCAATCAAACAAACTCTACAATAGAGTGATGTCAGGAGTGCAAGCTCCCACACTAACACTACAATAGCGTGATGTCATGAGTGCAAGCTCTCACACCAACACTACAATAGCGTGATGTCAGAGGGCAAGCTCTCACACTCACACTACAATAGCGTGATGTCATGAGTGCAAGCTCTCACACTAACACTACAATAGCGTGATGTCAGGAGTGCAAGCTCTCACACCAACACTACAGTAGCGTGATGTCAAGAGTGCAAGCCCTCACACTAACACTACAATAGTGTGATGTCAAGAGTGCAAGCTCTCACACCAACACTACAATAGAGTGATGTCAGAAGTGCAAACTCCCACTAACACTACAATAGAGTGAGGTAAAAAGCACAAGCAAGCTTTCACACTAATACTACAATAGAATGATGTCAGGAGTGTAAGCTTTCACACTAACACTACAATAGAGTGATGTCAGGAGTGTAAGCTCTCAGCACGTCTTTTCGACCACAGAGGAGCGTCCTGATTAACCTACACACTCAAAATATAGCAGCTACTAGCGGCAGCAATCGGACGTGTTATTGATTTCATTTATACTATCTTAGCATGGAGTAATGTTACATATAAAATATATAATAAAATTAAAATCCCCTCATTGTTCGCTGCATTTTCATATTGAAGTTAGGAGGGTTCACATTTTAAGTATATTCTCACATGTAATTCTTTTACTCTTCTTAAACTCCTCGCGTGATGAGGAAAATATCGAATTACAGATTATAAAGTTACCACTCAGCAAATCTGAACCTGGGGACAATTTATTTCAATTGCGGAAAGCGCTTACTTAATGATTTATTTTTTTCATTTGGGCAACTGTAAGGCAACATGACATGCAATTATCGAATTTTATTGAACATTGTTTACTTGGTCCAAATTTTGTTCTGGTACAATGTTTGTTGGTGACAATCCACCAATCACAATAGATGTAATTTGATATTAAAAATTAACGATTATCCACCTCATTCTCACTAATTTATCAGTTTTAAAAGGCTCAAATTTTACCTCCTAAGGATAAGTAAGCCCATGCAACGACAACCGCCGTTGAGTAAAGAGAGCACAGAGCTTCATTTGTCTCCGCGAGCATCACCGCTCTTAAATCTCCACTTGTCTCCAAGACAAGTCAGTTTTGGTCGATAATCTCGTAATTCCGCGCGCGCCTAGCAGAGGGTCGAGACTTTTCCCTCGATCGGACCGTCGACTGTTGATCAGCTGAGCGAATAATAGTAGATAGGCCCCTAGAGGGCGACACTTGAGAAGCTAGACGGGATCGCACACTTCGGATTTCGGGAGTTTGGTGTATCCGAGATAAAGCTCTTGCCCGCGCG